ATTCTTTCTGTTTACAAACAAATACATATTTGCTATGAAAATGTGAACTAAAATCTACTCAAACAGCGCATGATCTCATAGTTTTTGAGATAATCATTTCCTATTGGAAATATCTCTGTGATATATATATATACATATATATACATGTATTAATATTAACAATATATATATATATATATAAAGATATATGTATAAATATATATGTTTATGCATGTATATAATAAACACTATATGAAAATTGTTGTATATACAGCTATATACAATTTGATTACGATATAGACAAAAGTTTACATTAACCACCGACTGAATTGCAAATCCAAATTCTGCGGGTTAAACAGCGGAAGAAAGAGGCAGCAGCAGGTGGGTGAGTAGCCATGTGGGCGTGTGAGTGAGTGAATGAGCAAAAAGGAAGAGGTCACCACAGCGTTCAAGATCAAATTTGACGTAGCTATTGCATATACCAATAAGTTGATTTATTGCCAGTAAAGAGGACATTTTAAAATGAAATAAAAAAATTAATTTAAAATATTAACTTAAATATAATAATTAAGAAGAGCAAAGACCTCTAGAAAACAGCTATTTGTAGGTGTGAAAGCAAAAGAAAGATACAAAATTAATTTCTATATATACTCGTAGATGTCCGTACATTATATATCCTTGCTGCTTGGAAGGTAATACCTAATGGAATTTGACAGCGAAAATAATAATTCAAGTAAACACGTTTGTCAAACAAGCGGCGACGATATGTGGCAAATTATAATGCAAAAGACCGAAAATATCATGATTGTGGTTAGATTGCCCCTGAATACTTGGCGGCATGTGTGGGTGTGTGTACATAATTGCCGATTAACTGTCATGAACATACGAAAATGTCCGGGAAGATCATTTGTAAAGCTTTCCAAGGCTTTTTTCAAATAAAATAATTAAATTTTTGAAATGAGATAAAATCACAAAAGAAATAGAAAAACAAAAGAATACTACAACAACAACTATGTATTAAGGAATACTTACAATAAACGCCTAATGTAGTAAGACAGTGTACAAAGCATTTACTCGTGGGAGGATCTGAAGACCCTAGTATTTAAATACATATTCATATGCAGTACAAAGAAACTTTGTTATAAATATATATATTCTTTGCCTTAAAATTAACCATGTGTGCGTGATTTTCTTAGAAAGCGTTGGCGAACAGAGCTTTCGGCTACCAATACCTACTCAATATACATATATATATAAATGCAATTCTAATTTTTAGTAGTATTTGCAAAATCATTGCGCATACAGAACGGTGGGTTCTTACATATACTTAAGAATAAAAGGAATCTCTGTGATAAAGCGAGTGAAATTGTTGAAGTCGATTTTCAACATCGAACAGTTTGAAAAAATTCTTCGTTGAGGATAGATCGCTATTTTTTAGTAGAAGTAAAGAAAAATGTAAGCATTTTTTTTGGATGAAATTTTTACAATAAATTTAATTATAAAATATTGAGAAAAAATAATGAGGAAGAATAAAATTTGAAAAAAGAAAGTGAAAAGTTATTTGAGTACCGTCTAAAGGAAGTTTGAAGAGCAGAAAAGATTAAAGCAATCATTTATTTTAAAACATATTAAAATGCATTAACATAATTGAAATAAAATAATATAATTTTATGATGTTTTGACTAAAAGTGCTTAGAGACTTCATACAAACGGTTTTCATAGCAAATATATTTTATTAAAACTGGGCAAATAAATATAATTAACTTAAAACAAAAATCGTTATTATTATTCATAACGTCCTAATTACAGTAAAAACACCAGAACGTGTCAAAAGAGAATTTAAAGAATTAAAACATTTTTCAAAAAAAAAAATATTAAAAATATATCAATTTTATATCGGAAATTTTTTCATAAAACCAAATTATTCACCACTTTGCATATATCATTTTTGGAGCAGTATTTTCGCGCCAGCCACCGCGTACATGCAGGAGCATAGCGAAAAAATGAAATATTTCAAAATTTTGTATCCGTGCCAAAAATGGTATGATCAGTACCAACAACACCAATCACACACACTTTTAACGAGCGACTCGGCTGTTCGCGAACACCACTATACGCCGCAAGAGAGAAAAAACCGAACGCAACAATTTTAAAAAAGAAAATAATAAAAAATGTATATATTAAAATGTATGGCCACCGAATATCTGCCGCCGCAAGTGACCATAGTGCCATAGTAGATACCACAAACGCACATACATACACATTCACGTATGTATGCATATGTATGAGCGTCGTCATATCAATTCAACCCTCTGCACTGGCGCGCTGTGAAAATATTCAACTCAAGGACATTTAAAAATAACCGTGAAATTTAGCTACCGCTCGCACGTATTGTTGCTGGCCACTCCAACAACAAGCGTACAATCCAACAGCAAACGCCAGCAACAAGATCAACGAGCAGTGATCAACCGAAAGCAACATCATTATCACCAACACCTTCAACTCTTAGCAAATATACAAATATTTTCCGCGAGCAGCTCTTATTGGCAATAGGTTTTTTTATTGTTGTTGTTGTTGCTGTATTGGTCACCTACCTTCGCTGGCATTCGCATGAAACGAACAAAATAAGTTTTTATGCTCGCGCTTGCTCATTCAACAGGCTGCAAACATGCATTTAAACAAATATAATATATGCAAAGCTTCGAGCGCGTTAATATGTGTGCAGCGGAAACTTATTCGTGTGTATGTGTGTTTGTGTGAATTTGACGAAACATTTTTGAAGTGAAGTGTTGTTATACGTGAAAATATATTTTTAGTGTTCGGTGATCTTGTCGTCTTGGTGATCGTCTTCGACATTTTCTGCGGTTTTTTTATTCGAAAAAAGAACTGGAGCAGAATTACAAAGTAAACGAGCAATATAAATAAAACATAGCATAACAGTAAAGATTTCGTTATTTTTAATGCAAATACTTAGAAATAACTACGTACATTATGGAAACAGTTTAGTAAAAAATTGCATGGAAAAAGCAATAAGTCACTAAATAATCACCCTGAATAATAAAAAAATAATTATAACTAAAATAAATGCTTTTGTTTCAGAAATTAGTGCTACGCATTTAGACTAAATTTGTCCTTAAACTACACATTATTTGCTGAACGTCATTTATTTACCACTTCATTTGCTTTTTGTTATACTTTATTGCAGCGAACGAGATATTTGACATCGAACCTTAGTAAACTTAAAACTATATAAATTTCTTGTATCGAAACAAGCAACAGTAAATCGATCAAAATGTTTAAAAGCCATTTGGAAATGATTGGTCGCAATGAGACCCCCAGCAAGAAGGCGAAATTCTGGCAATCTTACATCAGATCCTTGAAGGGTGAGTTTATGAAGCATAATCGTCATACAGCATAAACCGAAATTTTCAGGAAATTTCTTCATAAAAAAATCATTAAAAAATTTAGTAATATCAAACTCTATTTTAGATGACCACGAGAACCTTTCATAAAAAATTTTTTACTATAATAGAATTATATTTAGTAGAACTATAAAATATTTGAAAACTCTTAGCGAAATACTCTATAGCGTCTGTGATACCTTTTGAAATTGATTTTAGTTTGAAAAGAAGTTTAGGTAGTGGTGAAATAACCTACCTAGGAAGTTGAGCCTGTTAATAAAAATAGGCATCCCATATGATTTGGTCTGACTATGAACTATATACAAATATGAAAGGGAATCTACCATTATAAAATTATCTTTCAAGCTAAAGATTTTAGAAAATAAAATTTCTAAGAATGGGGCCGTAGAGGTTTAAGGAAGTAATGTTTATCTATGTCTAAAGAACTGTTCCCGAAATTTCAAAAGGAGTAACCGTAGCTCGTAAATGCTCGAGCACTTTTAGTGGTTTCTTATAATAATACAATAAGTGAATGTCAATTCATAAATGAATACAGAATCTTAGCGCGACGTCATGGAACAGCTTCTGTTCTCTCACCTTGATTATACTATACGTAGTTAAAGTGTTTCGAAAAATTTAATAATTGAGTCGACGGAATAGACTAGAGTTACTGACAACCTTCTTTCAAAATAGTGCTTCTAAACAAACTTTTAAAAGCTAATATTTTAACTCTGAAATAAGTAAACAAGCAGAGCTCATAGGAGGGCTGCATTTGCAAACTGGAAAGTTATTGTTTTATATTTGTTTTGAAACAAATGAGATTTTAGTCTCGATGGTATTACAATGGGCCTCCTAAAGGCTTAGCCTACCTAAAATAAAATATTACACCATTTAAAAATTCTCTACATTTTTTTGAAGAACTAGGTATATGTTTGAACTGAAATTCATACATCATCATTTTAGTTTATTTATTAGTTATAGAATAAAGTATTCATAATAATAAAAATATATATACTTACGTAACTTTATGCACCTCTTTAAGAATTATGAGGATCAGTTTCAAGGTGCTCACTTTCAAAAAAAAAATATGAAACAGTTTCTTTCATGCGACACCTTCTCGCCTTTCTATATATATTTAAATATATTTATAAAATTTACTATACATAAACGTTATCGAGTTCACACTTTGTACATAGACACAGAACATTTGATCTCTTCATTCATATACTATAAAGCGATTGGAATGCTTGTCGAAGCACTAAATATTTTTAATTTGTGTAATAAAAATTTTCTACGCACACACACATACACACACATGCACATTCACAAAATTTGAGTGAAATCTTGACTAAAATCAACGAAACTGTGCGCTATTTTCGAAACAAGAAATCAACGCAGTCAGCTAGCCTGCCAACAGATTGCTTATTTTCGTATCGAAAAGTATATATTATATATTTCCACTATACGAAATCATAAAACAATATGTCTTTAAAAAATATACGAAATTTATCAAACTGAAAATCGCTAAAATACACAGAAATAGATAGATTGAAAGAAAAATTTTCGAAAGCAGACAAAAACTAATGCTTCGGTGAAACTGCGAAAATATGCGTGGCGATTAATGTGTTTTCGCAGTGTGAAATTGGCGAAAAGCCAAAATTGAAAACGAAAAACCTAGCGAATAAACAGAGAGTGGAAATATGCAATGAAACTACAACATTGTATTTTGCTTTTGTTGTAAACTATGTATGTAGTCGTATGTGTTTATGCGTGGAATGCTATTTCGGCGCTGGATAAACTGCTAGCGTTATTTAATATTTAAACTAATTTATTGTTAATATTTTGGTGGCCAAATGTTTCAGAAATAAGCTCCCATCATTTTACAACACAAATTAGTTTGAAAAATTTTGAAAAGCTAATTTCGAAAAATCCAAATTCGAATTTCGAAAAAGTTTTGACTTAGTCGCACACTTGCAATGCAAAATGTGTATCGACAAGCACTAAAATAACGGGCTGTAAGCGTTTACATTGCGTTTTATAAATATGGTATACGCACATATATTTGGTAAACATATGTATATTGGGTAGACGCATCGCCATAGCTGAGAATGTTAATTTTATTTGTGTAAATTTAAGAGATTTTTACAGTATAAAATCTTGAATCTGTTAGTGTTTATATTGCATTATTATTTGGTTTTGTTCGATTTTTTGAGCTCAACAAATATGCGAAAATGTATTGGTGTAAGATCTTTTGAGTAATACAAACATGGAGGGAATGAGTTTAGATAAACATATTTGGTCCTGACCTGCTTATGAGGGCTAAATACATAGATAAAGTTATGATATATCGAAAGGTATCAAAGAGTCAAAAGTATTGATTAGAATAGTTATATACCTATATATATATACATATATCCTCTCTGAACCACCCCGTTATGCGGATTAAGAAAATATAAAAGTACTCCACCTACTTATATACATCTATATATATGTTATATTTTAGGTGGAGTACTTTTATATTTTATTAATCAGCATAACGGGGTGGTTCAGAGGGGAAACAATAGAGTGAGGCACTTAAGTCCCGGTGGTATGAAAATGGGCCTCCTAAAGGCTTAGGTGCGTCGTAAGACAGTCTACCTACCTACCTACCTAATCCACATAACTGTTAATTTTGCGAATATTTAAAAAATTTTAATTTTGCCAAAAAAAATACTTATATAATTATTTATCGTTTTGAGCGCAAGGTATATTGAGAATAATTACAAGCAAATATCAAGATGAAACAATTTCGCACAACTATAAGAAACTTATCGAAATACTTTATATAAAATTAAGAAAACGCTAATATTAAGTTTCCGTTCATATTTTCCGCTTTTAGGATCCGAAGATATCCGGGCTCATGAGACTCCACGCGTCAGCCGT